CCCGTCCACAAGCCAACTCTCACGCAATCGCCCAGCCAGTATGACACGACCGCCGACTGAACCAATCATCACCCCCGAAAAAATCCTGAGCCACAGAGTTCGTGACCCTCGAGGAGCCTGAAGGATCGAGCTCTTACTCCGCTGGAAGGACCGTACACCCACCGAAGACAATTGGGTTCCCCTGGACAGAATCGAACACCACCCCGTCCTCACCGAGTATCTGCGCAGCCGGAATTTCAGGGATGTACACGCACTTTCGTAAGGAGGACCTCCTTAAGGGGGGGGGGGGTAGTGTAAGGAAAATCTCTTTTTCCTTACTTCGCGTTCCTGCTCAACGCATACATCACTGTAGCACCACAGTCAGCACCGTTACCACTCGCAATCCTCGCATCGACAATCCGCCCGCCACCTTCGCACGTCGCACCCCGACCTCACGGCTCGGCGGGTAACCCGCGCTCCGGGCCTCCGCTTCGACACTTTTCCCAACCTCAGTATCAGGCCCGTCGCGCAACAACCACAGTCCATTACCGTTACCACTGTAGTTTCACTATATATTCTTCGCTCATGCCTTCGCCCATTGTACTCTTGCTTCGATAGTGCAATTCTCGTTCGTTCACTCAATTGCACTCGTAACATTGAGTCATTTCGCCACATTCTCCCTTGTCGCCACGGGCAAAAATGTGACTGTAATATGAAATTGCAACGTGAACCGAGCCAAGGGTTTTAATTTCGTAACCAGGTTAACTTCTCTGATGACGGGCAACCGTTGTTGTTGATGTACTGTAGATGTTTTTCTTCCTCAACTTGATGACTGTACCCGGTCCTGTTCGATAGCAATTCGGGAAAAACCCCCCCACCATTGCCCAAGCACAATGGTGGGAGCGTAAAGACAAACGCTGAGTCGTCCGGCACCGCCGGCAGAGAAATTATTACAGCCGACTGCCTGCCGCCTTCGATCACCTCGCTCAACGGCCAAGGTGTGTCACACCACAGGCTTAACGGCCAAGGTGTGTCACACCACGGTGGTAACAGTGAGCAGTAAGCGAGGCTAAGGTTTCCCCACAGTGATGTTGGGTCTGCCAAAAAAAAACCCAACCCGGGACCAAAATGATCGTAAAAAAAAAAGGGAAACGGCATGTAATGAACCACCTCCTCAAAATGACGACTCAACAAGCAAACCCTAATTACGCAATACCGTCGTCTCGAAAGATGGATTACGATCCGCTTAGGCTTAGACAACTTAACGATCGTTCCGACATAGATCACAATGCATCTAGCGTCTTAACTAACCTTGGGATCATTCTCAGCCAGGCATTAGTACAACGTCTTCTACTCCATCTGCTCGACGCACAGTCTTCTCAGCAGCCACGTAGGATTCCAAAGCACACCTCCATATTAAAGGGACGCTCGTATGCGCGCGAACTCCTCATGGGGCATCCAGACCGCATGCGGGAGTGTTTACGCATGGAGCCGCCGCTATTTTGCAGGTTGCACGAGTTACTCGCGACACGCGGCCTCACAGTGGACGGCCGAGATGTGACCACCTACGAACAGCTGATGATCTTCCTACAGCTGGTTGGGCATACGACCCCCAACCGGGTCCTACAAGAACGATGGCAGCGCTCTGGGTCAACAATCTCACTGTGTGTAAGAGCTGTACTCCGTGCGCTCTGTGCGCTGCAGCATGAATTTATACGCTTACCAACAGACAGCCAGATAGATGTATTTGAGTTTCGTCCAGAATATGTCTTCTTCCGGGATGCGATCGGAGCAGTAGACGGTACGCTGATCCCTGCCCACATTCTCGCTTCCCGTCAAGCACCGTTCTTTGATAGGCATGGGAACGTGTCCCAGAATGTCCTTGCCGTAGTAGATTTCCATGACAATTTCATATATTGCCTAGTTGGATGGGAAGGATCCACCCACGACGCAACTTTATGGTCAAATGCACTGGCCCGTGGCTTCGTATTGCCGCGCGGTAAGTATCTCTTAGCCGACTCTGGCTTCCGTAACGACGCTAACTGCCTCACCCCATACAGGACAACCCTCTACCATTTGCAGCAGTTTCGGGATGCGGGTTTCCTGCCCCGCAATCATCAGGAGCTATTCAATAGGTGGCATTCGTCACTGCGCTCTCACGTAGAGTGTGCCTTTGGGCAGCTTAAGGCAAGGTTCCCTATCCTTCGGTTTATGCGACCATATCGCTATGCCACTCAATGTAACATTGTCATCTGCTGTATGATTCTCCATAACTATGTGAAACGGTTTGGCGGACTTGACTTCGAGGATGGCAATGGGGATGGTGCTGCCGCCATCGCAAGTCCAATGGAGTCAAGTAGGCCCGCTCACGGAAGGCCCATGACTCTGGGTGCGTCGGCGTGGGTTGGCGGTTGGGGACGTGGAGACACCGGTCTCAGTTCGGTAGGATGACCAGGGACGTAACTCCATGCGTATGGGGAATGATTCTCCTGCGGCGTATTCATGTCATTTGTGGTAGGTGTCCCCGGTGAACCAACGTGTGCCGACATATCAAAGGGCGTGCGGACTCCTGGCTGATCGTGCCGTGTCGCCATACCGTCCACTTTTCTACGTCTAAGTGATGTTGAAATTGCAGGATGCAGTTATGTGGCAGTGACTCTGGTCACTTGGTGAAACGCCTATTTTGAGCATTGGCGCATGTCCCTATGACGCTATACGAGCTCCACGTATGGCGCACGCTAGCACCAGGTTCGGCATTTGCGCTAGGACGGAGGTAATGCGTTCCTTGATATCGCGTTTAATACGCCCTGCCTTGACCGTTTCGATTTTTCTTCTAACCCTAACGTATCTAGGTGAAGCTCCAGCTAGGTAGTATGCTGGCCCACGATATCGCGATTAGATGGATCCGTACGACCGCAGCCTTCTTTGGCGACTTTGAGGCGGCATTTTGGTCTAGGATGCTGCGGCAGTTGTCTCCATGGCGCGGAGGTATGGCTTACATGTGGAGGTTGGAGTTGTCGAGTAGAATGGGAGCTGTATCGACCCGTAACCGTCGGTTGGTTTTTCATGCCCTTAATTTGGGCAGCTTAACTTGGGGAAACCGTCCGTTTAGACTATCCCCAAATAGCCCCTCCGTGAGGAATGGTTGTGACTTATCCTGAAAGTAGAAATGGCATTGGTGTCTAGCGGGGGGCTCGTTTTGCCCCGTGGGAGGTCTCTGGTCGAGGTAATGATTACGCCGGCTGTCACTTTAGTGTGCGCTTTGGGGCTGTTGATGGTTGTTAGACTTCCCGCCTTGTTTTGGCGTGTGGGCGGGAAACCGTAGCCATCGCAAGGGTTTCGTTCGCGCGGGCGGGAAATGTGAACCATCGCAAAGCGTCGTATCTAGTTTCCCGCCAGATTCTCTCCACCATTGTCAAATATACCAAACGCAAACCACCCTGCTATCGAACAGGACCCCTGAAATCGGCACAATGGTCAATTTAGTCACTCACGGGCAAAACGTTCGCGAGTTACTGAGGGCGTGTCCGAAGTGACATGTCAACGGATGTCGATGGATGTCGACGGATGTCAGGGTGGTAGGTGAGATTTTCAGGCCGGCATTGTGTCCGAAGCGATCTGACATCCATCCGACATCCATCCGTCATCCAGGTCCCTTTAATCATTACAGTCAAAGGGTGCCGCCAACAGTGACCTCGGGCTGGTCAACGTGGCGGTTGACGAACCAAATTATTGATAACAAAATTTGAGGGGGAACCATGGCGAAAGTATTTCTGGGCAAGCGACAGCCCTTCGTGACTTGTACGGGGTGACGAAACAAGTTCGCGAAATTCGTGACTCAAAATTGAACCTTCAATATTCTCTCTGGTCTGCCCTTGCCGGCGCCAGCAGTGCCGGCCTGCATTTTTTTGGGCAGTTATGTTGCCGGCATTGTGTCCGAAGTGCCTCGACATCCATCTGACATCCATCCGTCATCCCCTGTCATCCGCCACCGTCATCCATTGGATGACGGATGGATGACGACGGATGTCGAGGGTCACTTCGGACCCGCCCTAAATTTCTAATTGTGAGGAGCAAATGTTTTGTGATAGGCTGTACATCTTCCTTTCCGAGTTGCGTAGCAGCCGGATTTCAGAAGCCCACACACCAGTGCTACGCTGCTTACACAGTCGTTCGTACAGTAAACATTTCCGCTTCCTTCCGCTAGAAGCAGGAGGTGTTCCTCCACCACCTGTACAGTACACTTGTACAGTTTGCCTCGTCTCTTCCTTCCACTTACTTGAACGGACTCCCTGCCTCCCCGTCCCAGCCTAACAATGGTCGATGAACTCTAGGGTTTGGTTTTACTGAGTTGACCAACACACACGCGTTTACGGCACCTCGCGCGTGTCGCAGCGTGAACAATGCTCTTGTTAGACGTGCAACCGTGTTATCTTAGAAGGTATTGAGGTTACGACACTGTCCCGAGGAGTGCGGTGTATCTCGGGAGTTATTTATAGGGAGATTTCATGGCTGGGAATGCCAGATTACCACAGCAGCAGCAGGAATTCTTACTGGGAACGCAACCTCGGTCCAGCGACAATACAAACGGCAGCAGCGCAATCAACGGCGATTTCTCCATCAATGGTGAGATGGCTGAGAGTCCCTGGCCCACTTCTGAGGGCACTGGACACATTGCCGTCGACGTATCCGGCGCTACTACTAGCGGCGCCGGTATTGACCCGACGGGAACCGCTGCGAGTATGGTTTCTGAGACTGTTGGGACGCGGAGGATCCAGAAGGCGACTGGGGGAGGTAAGACTAGCAGCAGCCGCAGCATCCGCAGCACCCGCAGCAGCAGCAGCAGCCGCAGCAGCAGGGAGGCCAGGAATGTAACTTTTGGAAGCGCGGCGGAACGACGATCCGGAAACTCCGCGCTTGCGGCGAACGCCGCCGCGGCGGGGGGATGGCGGGGCCCATGGCGGTCGCGGTCTCCGCATTCCCACACCAGCGCGCGATGGGGTTGGCTGCCTTCCCCGCACATGCATCACCAACCGCGCTCCGGAACCGGTGGCGAGCGCCGCGGTAGCAGTTCTGGTAGAGTTTCGAGCCGCGTTCATCACTCGAAACCCGACGGCGCGGGGAAAACCCGTGGTTGCGGTAGCTGTATAGGTGCTTCCGCGCGGGAGGGCGCGCTTGGGGAGTTAGAAGACGAGCACGGGGAGGGGAGCTTCTCCGCCGGCGGGAAAATGACGCCGCCGTTGTCACCCCCCGCCTGTTCCGCCTTCTGCCGTGGCGCGGCGGTAAATGGCGCGCCGAGGTCGCGGTGGCCGACGTGGGGCTGGGCGGCAGAGAGCGGCGCCGGCGCGAAAGCCGGCGGGAAATCCTCGGGGCGAGAAGCGGGCAGAGCGGTCAGCGTGGAGAGCGAGGGAGAGCACGGGGAGGGAAGGGAGGAGGCGATGCGCGGGTGTGGCGGAGGGTGGGTGGGTGGGGGGTTGTTCGAGTGGGGCAGCAGGTCGAAGGTGTCGGCTTCGGTTCTGCGATCCGTTACGCGCCCGCTCGTGCGACTTAACAAGCGATGGCGACAGGTGAGCTCTATTATTCTATTCTCTCGCTGCTGTGATCCTTACGTCGGCGACAGCATTCCCCAGAGCAGAAAAGCTAAAGCCCTGCAGCAGCTGGGTAAGCAAGCTAAGGTAACTCGGTTACAAAACTTGGGCGATATTAAGCTTCTTGACATGAATTTAAGCAATTTACAGGGGCTAACATTTATTCAATTAGATGCCTTTCAAATAAAATAAAATAAAAAAAAACAGCTTCCCGTAACTGCCCGTTACTCCCCCGTTTGCACCCCTTTCCCCCGTCCTCCCCTTACTCTTCCCCTTCGCTTCTGCTTCCGTGTCCGCGACCGCTCCCCCCTCCCCCCCTTCCCCCCGTCAGCGCGTGGTGTGGCTATGGCTGCTCCTCGGCCTCGCGCTCACGGTCGGCGTGTTCGTAATCTCGGGCGTCAACAGCTTCCACGCGCGCTCCGTCTCGCTGCAGCGCATCTGCTTGCAACACGCGACTTATTTTGAGAATCAGTTCAACACCACCAGCAGCAGCGCCGCGACGATCACGGATCTAATAAGGACGTATTACCTCGCGGACGATTCGCACCAGAGCCTGTTCGATCTGGCGACGTACCAGTCGTTTACGAGCTCGACTCCCTACGCGCGCCCGCTCGCCGCGGTGATTCTGTACGCGCATAGAGTGAACGCGACAATGCGGCGGGAGTTTGAGGCGAATCTGTCGCAGCATAGGCTGAGCGACTGCGTATTCGCGCCCGCTGCGGCGGCATCCGCGCAAGCCAAGGCGTGCTTGCCGTATGACGATCCCGCGACGTCGCAGGGGCAGGCGCAGGGGCAGGCGCAGGGGCAGGGGCGCGGGAGTGAGTACGGAGTGGTGATTCTGTTTTCGAGTAACCCGGCGCTTCAGCTAGCGGATACCGTCGTGTTGTCGCCCGGCATGGACATCGTCTCCTGTGAGTCGTCCTCTTCCTCTCCCTCTCCCTCTCACTCTCACTCTCGCTTTTGTGAATTGAGTTGAGAGACGAATTTTTTGTGCCGTTCGAACCTCCCACAGAAGCCCTCCCTCCCCTCTTTCCATACTGTCCTTTTTCTCCGAAAATGTGTCCTTTGCACCCGCCTCCTGCTCCCCCCGCCCCCCCCCCCCCCCCCCCCGTCCCCCTCTCCCCTCTCGTTCCTCAACCCCCCTCCGCCCGTGTCTCCCCGTCCCGCGCCCCGTCCGCCCCTCTCCGCCCCCCCAGTCCCCCCATTCGCCTCGGCTCTCGACCGCACCCTCCGCAAGGGCGTCATGGGGGCTATTTCCGAGCCCTTCCTTCCCTACGGATCCTCCCCCTCCGCCTCCCCCTCTGCTTCCCCCTCCGCTTCCCCCTCCGCCTCTGGAGCAGCGCGCCCCAGCACCACCCTAGCTACGATAGCCCAGGCCTTCCCAGTGTTTGACCCCGATTTCAACATCTCTCTCCTCAAAAACCCCACGGACCTCTCCTCCTCGCTCCATTTCTCCGCTGCTACCTCGTCCCCCTCCCCCTTCCCCCCTTCCCCTGCTTCCCCCGCTTCGTCCTCTTCCTCACCCGCTTCCTCCTCCCCCTCGTCCTCCGCCTTCCCCTCCCCCAGTTCCCCCCCCGGCTCCCCCCGCGGCTTCCCCCCTAGTTCCTTCCCTGGTGCCCCCCCGTCCTCTCCGCCCCCGGGTTCCTCCGCCTCGCGCTTCGCCCTGACGCCATCCCCAAGCGACCCATCCTGGTTCAGCCATTACATCCGCGGGTGGGTCATAGTGGCGTATAACTTCACCATTCTCTCCGACGGGCCGCTCCCCACCGCTTCCCCCATCTACACCGTGCTATACAAGCGCACGCCCAAGTTCCCGCCTGCTGCTGCTGCCTCCCCCGCTTCCCCCGCCTCCCCCGCCTCCCCCACCTCCTCCACCTCTTCCGGAGCGTCGAACCATTCTTCTTCCACTTCCTCCCCATCCCCGCCACCCACCGCCGCTGCTCCCACCTCCGCCGCTGCCCCCTCTTCCCCTCCCCCTCCGCCGCCGCTGCTGCCCGTGGCGGACGACCCCCCCTCGCCCGCCATGAGCGGTGGCCCGCTGTCGTTTGACTACGAGGCGCTGCATGCGTCCGCGGGGCTGGACGTGGCGGGGATGGACGCTGTGCGCGACTTCCCCCTCGCGCTCCCCATCTATTTGGGGGATCCGAGCCAGTCGTTCCAGCTGCACTGCCGGTGAGTGGGGGGGCGGAAGGTGGGGGGGAAGGGGGGTGGAGGGAGGAAGAGGAGGGGAATAGGCAGGGAAAACGGAGCGGGAGAAGGGGCGGCTTGTGCGGGCGTGAGTGGGGAGAGGGAGGAACATTAGCGACTGGTTTGAGTGTGGGGCGGGGGGGGGGGAGGCGCTGCACGCGTCCGTCCGCGGGGCTGGACGTGGCGGGGATGGACGCTGTGCGCGACTTCCCCCTCGCGCTCCCCATCTACCTCAGGGATCCGAGCCAGTCGTTTCAGCTGCACTGCCGGTGAGTTGAGGGGAAGGGTGGTTGGAGGGGGGATTGGGGGAGTGCGGGGGTGGCAAGAGGGGACGGGAGGGGATGCGAGGGAAGGATGATTTATAGGGCAGGAAAATGTTAGTGACTTTGAAACTTGGTTTCTAATTCGTCCGCCCACCCCTCCCGCCAACACCCTCCTCTCCCTGGACTCCTCGCACTCCCCCACGCTCCCTGCTCCCTACACTCCCGCTCTCTTCCCCCACCTCCGCCCGCCACACCTCCCCCTCTCCACCCCCCTCCCCCAGCTACGTCAACACAACGTATGTTCCAGTCTCCCCAGTCCTGTGGGCGCTCCCCGTGCTGCTGCTGGTGCTGCTGATAGCGGTGGTGCTGTGGGCGATCGTGCGCGGAGTGGAGCGCATGTAGGGCGACTACCACCGCATGCTGCGCCTCAAAGACCACGTGGCCGCCCACTGCTGCTCCTCTCATGCCTCCCCTTTCGCTTTGTCCCTGCTCCTCCCCTGCTGCTCCCCCGCTGCTCCCCTGCTCCTCCCCCGCTCCTGCCCCGCTCCTCCCCTGCTGCTCCCCCACTCCCGCCCCCCCCCATTCCCCCTTCCCTCCCCCCAGCTACATTAACACAACATACATCCCGGTCTCCCCGGTGCTATGGGCCCTTCCAGTCCTCCTATTGGTGCTGCTGATAGCGGTGGTGCTGTGGGCGATCGTGCGCGGAGTGGAGCGCATGGAGGGCGACTACCACCGCATGCTGCGACTCAAAGACCACATGGCCGCCGCGCTCGCCTCCGCGGAGGCCGCCAGTCGCGCCAAGGGCGCGTTTCTGGCCACCATGAGCCATGAGATCCGCACCCCCATGAACGGCGTGATCGGTGCGTGAGAGCGAGGCGCGGTTGAGAGGGGTGTTGAGTTGAGGTGAGGCGGTGAGTGAGAGTGACGCGCGGTTGAGAGGGCTGGTGAGGCGGGAGGGGGGCCAGCAGTTTCATCCCATTCCCACCCCTTGGGTGTGAGCTCTCTTTTGTAACTTCTGCTCCCCTCCCCCCCCTCCCTCCCCACCTCCTTCTCCCCCTCCCCACCCCAACCCTACTTCGTCTCCATTTTTCTCTCCTACAGACGCCCCTCGACCCCACCCAGCTGGACTATGTGGAAACGGACGGCGCGGGCCACAGCGGGCGAGCTCTCTGCACGCTAATCAACGACATTCTCGACCTCTCCAAGATCGAAGCAGACCGCCTCGAGCTCGAGGCTCAAGGCTCACCCTCGAAACCCTGCTTGCTCACCCTCCTGCTCTCCTGCTACCCCTCCGTGCTCCTCCCTCCTCCCCTCCCGCCCCTCTCTCCCCTTCCCCCTGCTCCCCCCTCCCCCCCCGCACCTCTTCCCCCCCCCCTCCCCCGGGCTCTCCCCAGGCATGCTGAACCTGCTTCTGCAAACGCCCCTGGATCCAACCCAGCTGGACTATGTGGAAACGGCGCGGGCCAGCGGGCGAGCTCTCTGCACGCTCATAAACGACATCCTCGACCTCTCCAAGATCGAAGCAGACCGCCTCGAGCTCGAGGCTCTCCCGTTCGATCTACGCGCCGAGATCGACGATGTTCTCGGGCTGTTTGTCGATCGGACGGCTGAGAAGCCCCAGGTGGAGCTGGCTGCGTTTGTGGCTGATTCGGTGCCCGGGAGGCTGGTGGGGGATCCACTGCGGTTCAGACAGGTGCTGGTGAATCTGATCGGGAACGCGTTTAAGTTCACGCAGGAAGGGCATATACTGCTGTGTGTGAGGGTTGCGGACGCTGCGGAGGTGGTGGTGCGGGACGGGAATAGGAACCGCAGCAGCAGCCGCGTGATTCTCACTGATGCTGCTGCTGGTTCTTCTGGTGCTGCTGGTGCTGCTGGTGCTGCCGGGGTTGCTGCTGCCTCTGCCCTACCTGTTGTCCCTGGGGGTGATATGAGAAACAGCAATAACATCAGTGGTGGTTGCGCTGGGAGCAACATCAACCCACTCTCAGCGGCTCGCCTCTCCCCCCCACTACCACCACCCTCCCACACCCACGTTCCCCCCGCCGCCCCTTTCCCCCCCCAACCTACCCTCCCCCCGTCGGCCCCGTCCCCTCCCCCCCCGACCCCGCCTTCCCCGCCGCCGCTGCCGCCGCGAGCAGCAACGGAAATGGTGTGGGTGGAAGAGGAGGGGAGGGGAGAGTATTTGAGTCTGAGTGGGAAGCGGGTAATGGAGAGTGTGGGGAGCTGGGGGCAGGTGCGGCACTTGTTGGAAGGAGGAGGAGGAGGAGGGGAGGAGGGCACGAGGAGGAGGGGGGGCGTGAGGGAGGGACAGACGGTGCGACTGGTGATCAGTGTTGAGGATACAGGTGAGTGGAGGCGATGGGGGAGAGGGGGAGGTGGGGGAGACGGATAGAAAGGGAGAGCGGGGATTGTGGTGAGAGGAGGAGATGGGGAAAATGGGGAGAGGAGTAAGGTGAGAGGAAGAGAGGAGGGGGGGGGGGGGAGGGGGAGGGTGCAGCACTGTGTCCAGCGTAAAAAAACTTATCGTCATGTCTTGTCGTCATGTCATCATGCCTCCTCTGATTTTTGAGTCCACTTCAAAAATTACTCTGTGCCCACCCCTGTCTCCTCTCCTCTGCATGCTTCCGTTCCATCTCCTGCTGCTCTACTCCTCTCTCTCTCGCTGTCATTAGCCTTCCCTTTGCTCTGCTCTTGTTCGTCCTCCCCATTCGTGCCCTCTATCCCACCTTCTCCATTCCCTCCTGCTGAAACCCCCTTCTACCCACCCCACCCCTCCCCACACCCTTCCCCCGCCCCCCCTCCTTTCCCCGTCCCCCACTCCCCTGTCCCCCACTCCCTCCTCGTGTACCCTCTCCCAGCCGCGCTTGCTCTTTCCACCCTCTCTCATTTTCCCGTCCCACCACCCTACAACTCCCTCACATCACATCCCAACCTACTCCCCGTTTCCACCGATCCCACCGATCCCACCGATCCCACCGATCCCACCGATCGCACCGATCCCACCGATCCCACCGATCCCACCGATCCCACCGATCCCACCGATCGCACCGATCCCACCGATCCCACCGATCGCACCGATCCCACCGATCGCACCGATCCCACCGATCCCACCGATCGCACCGATCCCACCGATCCCACCGATCCCACCGATCCCACCGATCCCACCGATCCCACCGATCCCACCGATCCCACCGATCCCACCGATCCCACCGATCCCACCGATCCCACCGATCGCACATCCCCCCCCCTCCCCTGCTTCCCCGATCGCACCGATCATATCAACTTCCCCACCTCGTCTCTCCTTTCCTCTCTGCTCCCATCCCCCCCCCTCCCCTGCTTCCACCATGCCCGCCCACCCCAGGCTGTGGCATACCGGAGAGAGCAAGGCACCTCATATTCCGCCCGTTCACCCAGGCAGACACAAGCACCACGCGCCTGCACGGAGGAACCGGCATCGGCCTCTCCATCTGCCAGGTGCGCTCACAACAGCATGTCATTTGAGAATTCTCAAACAACAGGATGTCATTTGTGGGAGGAGCTGGTTCTAGACATTTGAATCACTCGTGTTTTATGGTGGGGCCTCATCTCGCTTTCTCTCTCTTTCTCTCCATCTCGCCTCCCGTCGCCATTCCACAGCTCTCCTCCTCTTTCTTCCCGGCTGTACTCTCCTCACCTTGTCTCTCTTCTTGCCTCCCGTGCCTGACTTGTGTTGACTGGTGCATTGCAGCGTCTGGTGAGGATGATGAGTGGCAGCATGTCATTCGTGTCCTGTGAGGGCGTCGGCACCACATTCTTCTTCGACGTGGAGTTGCAAGCAGCCCCGCTCCTCTCCACCTCCTCCTCCACTTCCTCGTCCTCGTCCTCCTCCTCCTCCCGCCCCGAAGCTGCTGCTGCTCCTGCTGTGGCTCCTGCAGCAGCGGCCGCTGCGTGTGAGACACCACCAGCAGCAGCGTCCGCATCAGCAGCGGCACCAGCAGCAGGAGCAGCAGCAGCAGCACCGCTCGCGTCTGCCCCAGTCCCCTCCACCTTACCCAACCCCCACCCGCTCCCGTCCCTCCCCCCCTCTCCTCTCCTCAACGCCTGTGTTCTCCTCATTGACAACCGCCCCGTGCGCCGTGCGGTTACCGCCTCATCACTGCGGCGCCTCAGCCTGCGCGTCTTCCTGGCAGCCTCCCTCTCAGACATCCCTCTCGTGCTTCTCCCCTCAGGACCAGACGAAACCTTTGCTCCTCCTCTCCACCTCATCTCGCCTTGCTCTGACTCTGAGTCTCATCCGGAGAGGGAAGGTGGGGCGGTGGCTAAGAGGAGAGCGGGTGGGGCAGTCGGGCGGGGAGGAGCAGGAGGGGGAGTGGCAGGACAGACGGGAGGTACGGGAGGGGCGGGAGGGGGTAACCATGCGGTGAGCTTCGGTGCAAAGGGTTCCATAGGTAGGGCGAACTGCAGCAGTGCGAGGGGTGGCTTTTGGGAGAGGACTGGGAGAGGGGGAGGCGGAGAGAGGGAGACGAGAGGAACAAGTGGGATGTGGGGGCCTACCTGTGAAGATTCATTTCCTGTTGGTGCTGCTGCTGCTGCTGGTGATGCTGCTGCTGCTGCTGGTGATGCTGCTGCTGCTGCTGGTGATGCTGCGGCTGGGCCTGGGGGTGTTGTGGATGGGGCGTTAGGTGGGGCAGGAGGGTCTCTACACAGAAAAAGTCGGTCTGCTGGTCCTGCGCTTGGTTTCTCTGCTGCTGCTGCTGCTGCTGCTGCTGCGTTGCCAAGTGTGCCGGACTCTACGGATGCTGACTACCACTCCCCTCTTCTCTCCCCCACTGCTGCTGCTATTACTGCTGCTGCAGGTGTGGATGCGGTTCGGTCCGCTGTAGCAGGAGAAACAGCAGGAGCAGCGGGTGTGGCAGGATCACAGCAGACTCTGCTGTATAACGGCTTGCAGGAGGGATGGGAGAATCCGGAGGCGCAGGAGCAGGAGCAGCAGGAGGAGCTGGAGGAGAAGGAGAGAGCAGTGTCGCTGGTTCTGGTAGAACAGAGTGCGCTGACCGTGCGTGGAAGGAGATTCACTGGAAACGAGATCCGTGCCCTCATTGCTCGCGCCCTTGACCCTGCTGCTGCTGCTGCTGCCGCTGAATCAGGCACAGCAGAAAGAGCAGGGGGGGCAAGGGGGGTAGGACGAGCAGGGGCAGCCGCAGGAGGGGGAGAAAGCATCAGCCGTGCACGCAGCAGCAAGCAGGTGGTGCTGCTGCCGAGCATAGCTGTGCTCGTGCAAGCTCCCCCCTCCGACCCCTCCACTCTCGCCGGATTTGACGGCATGGTGAGGAAGCCTCTCAGGCGAAGTGCCCTGCTAGCCGCCCTCCCGCCTCTTATTGCCCTGCATAGAGACTGTACCAGCAGCTGCAGCAGCAGCAGCAGCAGCAACAGCGGCGAGTGGAGGGCGGAAGGGAGAGGAGTGGGAGGAGTGGGAGGAGCGGGGGGGTCAGGAGGAGGGGTTGATGCCAGGGAGGGTAGTGCTGCGGGTGGGGAGAAGAGGCGGGGGGCGCCTACGTGTCCATCTGCTGCTGCTGCTGCTTCTGCTGCTGCTGCAGCAGAGGATAGTCGTGTTAGTGCAAGCGCGTATGATTTGCTTACTGAGAGCACTCCCCTTCTGCCCTCCTCTTCCTCCTCCCAACATTGTAATGGAATTCCCGCTGCTGCACCTCTGGCAACACGAGCAACAGCAGAACCAGCAGCAACAGCAGCGGCAGCAGCAGCGGCAGCAGCAGCAGCAGCAGCAGCAGCGGTGGCGGGGGCAAGCAGGGTTGCGGGAGGGATTTCTCCTGAGCCAAACCCAGGTCAACAGAGTCAAAACGGGCAGAGACCCCAGAGGGTCCATCGGGGCGATATAGGATCAACCGGAGAGAGAGGAGTGAGGGGCGGTTGGGAGGGGTGCAGAGTGCTGGTGGTAGATGATAACATGGTGAACCGTAAAGTGGTTTCCAAGGTGCTGCAGCGCTTGGGGGTGAATGCTGTAGCTGTGGATAGTGGTGCTGCGGCTGTGGCTGCGCTTGCGTTGCCACACTCCTTCCAAATGGTCTTCATGGACTTGCAGGTCCGTGGGCGGGCGGGCGCCTGTTTGTTTTGTGTGTGTTTTGCGCGCTTCGTTTCGTGTGCTGTCCCATGTGCTGTTTTGCGCGATGTGAAGGAGAAAGAATGGGCGCGGTGATTTTCTTTCGTTAAAGTGTGGAGAGTAGTGTGTGCGAAGGCGTGCCACGCGTGTGGTTTGGTCGAGTCATTGGTGAACATGGGTGGGGGACGCAAGCGGATGCAATGACACACCCTCCCCCAACCACCCACCCTTCCCCCCCCCCTCCCTCCCCCTCTCTCCTCTTCCTCCCCCGCTCCCCCCCCACACACTCTCTCTTCTCTCACCCCTCTCGTTGCAGATGCCTGGAATGGACGGGCTGGAAGCTACTCGCAGGGTGAGACAGGCCGAGCTGCAATACCAACGCAACCAGCAGCAGCAGGAGCAGCAACAGGCGGTGTGCACGCACGTGCCCATCTTTGCCCTCACAGCAGACTCCATTGGGGAGGTGCGGCAGCGCTGCGAAGCTGCCGGCATGGATGGGTGCCTGTCCAAGCCCATCGAGGAGCGCGAGCTCGTCAAGGCGCTGGCCGCTGCTGTGCCAGCCAGCTAACTGGGTGACTTTTGAGTCGACTCAAAAGTCACCTTGGGGCCTCGGGCATGGATGGGTGCCTCTCCAAGCCTATCGAGGAGCGCGAGCTTGTGAAAGCGCTGGCTGCTGCTGTGCCAGCGAGTTGATTGCTACGGTACCGTCAACTGGTAATCGTATTACTCAAAATCCATTCGAAAACTGACTTGGAAAATCTGCTGCGCGCTGTTGTATCCGCGAGTTAGGTGGGGGAGAGAAAGATTGGGATCGAGAGGGTTATTCATGAGGTGACACGAGTGGATGAAAGCAGGCCGGGAAGGTGGCATGGTTGAGTGTGTTATTTGATGTTCAGGGATGAAGGTGGATGGAGCATGGGAGAGGTAGCGCAAGTGAGGGGGCTGTATTTGGTATTTCTTCTGCTCTGCCTGCTGCCTGCAGGTTATAGGGAGGGAGATGCAGAGGGGAGGGAGGGCGGAGGAGGGGATGGAGAGAGCAGGTGAGGATGGGAGGGAGGCGAAGGAAGCAGGCAAGGGAGGGAAGAGTGTGGGGCAGACTGGCCTGTGTGTGATGTGAGTTGGATGGGGATGGATGGTTTGGGATGGATGTTTGTGGGATGGATATACACGGTTTTGAAGGCACTGGTACAGTCTTTTGGAGTAAGTTATAGGGCTCTTGTTATCAGACCATTTTGGTCTGATGGTCTGATTTTCAGACTTCCTTTTTTGGATTCATATGATTTTCCAATCAGAATGATACAAAACCATGTCTAATGCCCGGGGGACCCGTCTGATCCCCGTCTGATGAATCAGACGGCCTCAGATCCTAGTAAGAGCCCTTATACCGTACAGCCAGTCCATGCACCTATGGCTTGCATTTTTGGAGTGTGTTTGTCCCGCACTACTGGGCTTTTGTAAACCTTGCTAACAGTGTTTGGGCATTATGTTGGATTTATGATGCTATGCCTTGTAAAAATGTTCGTTTTGGTTTCCCTGTTTTAATATGGTAGAACAAGCCCTCTTTTCAGAACGTTGAAGTACTCGAATAACATAACGAGAGTCAAACTCTACAATTGTACAATTGTTACAGTCCCAGATATTGCCGAGCTGAGCAACTCTCCCTCTCCCTCCGAGGCCGGCCGGGTCCCCGAGACTCTTCCGAACCTTCCTCCCGCCGTACCTACCGCACCTACCGCCATCCCCAAGCCACCAGCCACACAAGCACAAGCCACCCACCTGAGCAAATCGGGAGAGTAGAGCTCGAGCCCCCAGAGAAGCGGAGACGAGAGAACAGGAGCATGCTTCGCCCTCCAAAGTTCAAATCAACTGAACTCAGTCAAGAGACTTGCCGTCTTGCCTGGCCTTGGCAGGCGTGCACTCACGCATCGTAGTTGGTGTTCATCGCAGCGGGAAAGGCACGTCGTCCGCGTTCTCTGCGCGATCGCAGGTCACGGGTCGCGATGGACTAAAAAGCGAGTGAAACCGAGTCGAGTTTAGACCGTTGCTCCGCACGCAATGCGTCACGCTGCAACGAGCCGATCGGTCGTCGATCAGACGATGGATGCGATAGTCTCATCAGTCATCCATAGATTAATCAACGAAGCACCGCACTAGTAGGGTTTCGTGGCTTTTTTTTGCAGGATTTTTGTTCACTTCCTGCCGAACTGTTGTGTGGCAAGTGCCGACTTTGATTCGATTGGCCACATCGTAAATGCGTTTCCGTTCAGCGTGAGCCAATCTGGACAGAGAGAGGGAGGGTACTGTGGCGCTGTACTTGCTCCCCGATCGCACACCCCGAATTGCACACCCCGATCCCACACTGCTTGACAGCAAAAAATACACCACCAACGCTTCCATCACTATCAAGACCGCTAAAACTACCGCTACCACTCTCTCTCCTAATCCGCCCGGTTTCGTCGCGACATCAACCACCGTTTCTCTCAATCTCGTTCCACTCCGCAATTTCCTCTCCGCGCCACACCCCCTCTCCGCCTGACCCAACCATGCGCTCCTCTACCCGCGATCGCCGCGCAACCTCCGGCTTCGGAGCCTTCGATTGGGAGCTCCCTTCCGCGCCCCCTCCTTCCGCCTCTTCCGCCGCCCATGCCTCCTCCCGCTTCCCCTCCGCCGCCGGCGGCGCCGCCACTCGCCGCTCCAATGCCTTCTATTTCAGCTCCTCCGCTGCGAAACCCTCTTCCGCAAGCGCCGGCGGCGGCGGCGGCGCTCCTGGCGCCGGATTTGGGGGAGGCGGGGGGTGGTTCTTTTCCGGTCTACTTAGCGGCATCGGCGGCGGCGGCGGCGGCGGCGGCGGCGGGCGGTCTAGAACGTTCTCCTTGTCTGGGAGATCTCCGTTTGGGGGAATAGGGGGGTATTCTTCTCTCGGCGGTCCGCAATCCGCGTTTGGCGGGCCGCACTATGCGTCCTCGTCCGCGTCGTCCGTTTACTCTCTCCTGCTGCCGTGCACATGCCTGTTCCTAGGGTTCCTTCTCGCGTCCTTCATTTTCATAAGCTCTAGATCGCTGATTGCCGCGCCGTCGTGGGTCGCGATTCACGGGCAGAAGCAGCAGCAGGGGTTACCACAGGAGCACGAGCAACATATTTCACTGCAACAACAGCAACAGCAGCAGCAACAGCAGGAGCAGGAGGGGCAGCAGGATGATTTTTCTCCCACTGAGAGCAGCAGTGCTGGTGCTGATGGTGATGGAAACGGGGATGATGCGGTAGGAGAGGGCGAAGGCGCGCAAGATAACACCGAGAAAAGCAGGCGGTTCGGGCCTCGTGAATCAGCGAAGAAAACGGACAGAAGTGGAGGGGAAACGGCAGGGGAGGAGGGGGAGGAGGTGGAGGAGAAGAAGGGAGGGCGGGAGAGTGTTGAGGGAGAGGAGGGAGAGGAAGGCGTAGAGAGTCAGGCCGAAGGGAAGTTGAGGGAGGCAGAGGCGATGCTGGAAGGTGTAGGGAGAGAGAGGGAGAGGCGGGAGGAGGAGCATCTGGATGAGATAATGAAGAGGCTGAATGGTGGGGAAGAGGACGAGGGGACGGGTGGGGGAGGCGGGAAGAAGAAGAAGAGGAAGAAGGGGGCAGAAGAGGAGGAAGAAGAGGAGGAGGTAGTAGTTTCTGGGAAGAAAAGAGGGGAAGGTGGCAGCAAGAAAAGGCAGGAGGTAGAGGAGGAAGAGAGCGGAGAAGGGGAGGGCAAGGAGGAGGAGATTATTGATGCGCTCTTGAAGGGGATTGGTGGGGGAGATGAGGTGGAGGAGAAGGAGAAGGGAAGAGATGTTGGCAAAGGAGGAAAGAGGAGTGAGGTGGGGGAAGAGGAGGCGCGTGGTGGTGCTGGCAACGGCAGCAGCACTGGCAGTGGCAATGGCAGTAGCAGTGGCGGCTCCGGTGGCAGTAGCCTGGGCACTGGGAATGGTGGTGAAGATGACTCAGCGAGGGAAATACATGAAGGGGATGGCACTGTAATTAAGGCTGCTGAGACGGAGAAGGGACATGGGGAGGGGGAGCAAGAGGAGAAGCGAGAGGGTATAGGTGGAGTGGCAGCATCGAGTGAAATTGGTGAGTCATTTGGCAGCACACATGGCAGTAGCAAGAAAGATGGTGTGGAAGAAGGTTCAGCTTTCAAAGTGGCATCAGGAGATGGGGACAGAGAGGGGGGAGCTGGTGGTGCTAGTAGTGAGCCCGCCTCAGGGGAATTATCAGGAGCTTCTTCAGTTGATGTTCAAGGAGAGCCAACTGCAGAAGTAGGAGGATCGAATGACCATGCAGACAGGGAGAAGGAAGGAGAAGGTGCGGGTACTCTTGGGGATGGGAAGAGTGGTGCGGAGGGGAAGGGAGACAAGGAGAATGGGGCAGATGAAGAGAAGCAAGGGGCAGATAGCAGCAACGATGGAGAGGAGCAGGGTGAAGGCAGTGAAGGCAGTGAGAGGAGTTCTGCAGGCAAAGGCAACTCGGGCGACTCGGTCGAGGCTGATGCCACCAGCACGCCTGCGGTTTCTGCTGCTGGCCATGCTCCTGCCTCTCTCCCTTCCCCAGCCACAGCAGCTGCTCCCAGTGCAGCTAGCGAACAAGGAGGAGTGGCAGGCGGTTCAGATGGGCCTGAGGAAGGCAGCCAGCAGCAAGGGCAAGAGCAGGAAGCAGGGCAGCAGGGCGAGAATCAAGATGTGGAACAGCAGCGAGGTACAGGCGGGGACGTTAGCATCCCAGGAACTGCTGAGGAAAGTGCTTTGAACGACACTGCTGCTGCTGCTACTGCTACTGCGCAAGGCTCTCATCCTTCGGTAGAACCTGAGGAGTCCAACATGTTAGGAGGAGCTTCTGAAGATGGTGCTGCTGCTTCTGCTGGCGCAAGCGCTACGGATCCAGCTTCCAATTCCTCCTCGGGATTATCTGGCGTTTCAAGTGATGGAGGTGGGTCTGAAACGGTGCCTCCAGACTCGTCGGCCTCTCAAGGCAGCGCAAAGAAGGGCCTCTTTTCGTGGCTGGGGTTTTGATGCATAGCTGGATCCGTTTGATTCGTCGGCCGGTTTGGTTGGTAAATTTCCCCATTTTCCTTAAGTCTTTTAGTATGTACAACAGTAGCAAACTAGGAGCAGATCCAATCCAAAGGCTTTTCTTTCTTATTTGGTACAATGTTTCTAGAATGTTGTACAATATAGATTCAGCAAGTGAGGAGATGTGAAAATGTTCAGAAGAAAATCAAGACGTGAAACGGCATGTGAGGAGATGCTCTTTCTTCTCTGTGCATGTCTACCATGTTTGTTTCTTTAGTCAGCATATCTACCCTGAACAGCCTATTTTACAATATCGTACTCATAATGTTACGAGTGCAATTGAGTGAACGAACGAGAATTGCACTATCGAAGCAAGAGTACAATGAGCGAAGGCATGAGCGAAGAATATATAGCGAAACTACAGTGGTAACGGTAATGGACTGTGGTTGTCGCGCGACGGGCCTGGGACTGTGGTTGGGAAAAAGTGTCGAAGCGGAGGCCCGGAGCGCGGGTTACCCGCCGAGCGGTGAGGTCGGGGTGCGATGTGCGAAGGTGGCGGGCGGATTTTCGATGCGAGGGTTGCGAGTGGTAAAGGTGCTGACTGTGGTGCTACAGTGATGTACGCGTTGAGCAGGGATGCGAAGGAAAAGGAATTTTCCTTACACATAATCATAGAAAGGGATACAGGTCCTTCACGTCACTAAGCGAAGCGGTTCGTTCAATTCACCGCTCTGAACCGCTACGGTACATAACACCCCCTTCGGCAACTGGCACAAGCTTTCAAGTGAAAGCTTTGCTGCAACCTCCTTCACCCTACACGATTGCCCATCACGAACCCCAGTGAAACCCTAGACTCGGCATTTACACGGCATCGCACGAGTTTGTAGCCTCAGCCAGCCTCCACCCTTTTCGGCCCAGAAATCCAGCGCGTTCGTCGCGATGATTCGGCGCAACGCGCGGTTGCGGCGCGAGTATCTGTACCGCAAGAACCTGGAGGGCAAGGAGCGCGTGCAGTACGAGAAGAAGCTCAAGATCCGCCAGGCGCTGCAAGGTGCGCGCGCACGCGCTCTGCGCTTTGCGCGCTCACGCGCTCTGCTGTTCGCTGTGCGCGCTTTGCGCTGTGCGCTGTGCGCTGTTCCCAGTGTGCGCTATGCGCGATTCACAGCGTCTGCACGCTATTTCGCGCGTAGCGTTGATCTTTCCGCCCGTCGTTTCGCCCTTTCTTTCCGCCGTCTCTTTGCATTTCTTCATTCACCTATAAGCACTAGGACGATCGTATCCCTTCCCTATTCTCCGGAATTTCTTTCCGGACTTCCGTACTCCACCGTCTTGTTCTTCTGATTCTTCTCCTCCGTCTCTCGCGCGCACCTCCGCGCGCGATCGACAATTCTTCATCCCGCCTCAATACTCGTGTGTCTCTCTGCGTGCTCCTCCTCTCCCCTTCCTCCCTTCGCCTCCCTCGTATCTCTCATCTTTCTGCGCGCACCAGAGGGCCGGCCGGTTCTCACGGAGCTCCGCTACGAAGCGCCTAATATTTTTTCCTACTCTCACCTCCCTCCCTTCGCCTCCCTCGTATCTCTCATCTTTCTGCGCGCACCAGAGGGTCGGCCGGTTCCCACGGAGCTGCGCAACGAGGCGTTGGCGCTGCGGGACGAGATCGACCTAGAAGACGACTACACCGCGGGTAATGCGCGGAGCCGGGGGGACGGGGGGCGGGGGACAGGGGACCCGAGTGGCGCAAACGGAGGGGGAGGAGGGGGACTGGGCTCGAGATAGGCGGCCGAGTTTGGGGGGTTTTGGGAAGTTTGAGGGTTTCAGGAAGTTTGGGGGGTTTGGAGGGTTTGCGGCGCCCCGAAAGGCGTTGCGCTGAGAGAGTCGGATAGTCACAACGCGTCTGTTCCAGGAAGAAAAGAGCGCGGGAAAGGGAAGGATGGCGGAAAGGGGGAAGGGAAAAGGGAGAAGGGAAGGGAGGGGGAACGAGATTGGTTCGGACGACGATTGCTCTCCCGGTGGTGGAGGGGAGAGGCGAGCAGGAGAGGCTAGAGGAGGGATGGCGGGGAGGAGAGTCGTGCGGGAGGGGAGCGGAGGGGTCAGGGTGGGGGAGAGGGAAGTGACGACTAGAGTAGAGAGCTGAATAAGCGTACTTTTTATGTGGGCGTAGTTTGTTTGCGGTGCAGCACGTGGAGGGCTTGCTAGGAGGGGCTTGGAGGGGTGGTGAGGGTTAGGCTTCGGTTGCGGGTTTCTGATTACCTGTCCAGCTCCCTCCCTCTCGCCTCCCCAAACCCGTGTGGTTGTTCCGCAGAGAGTGCCTCCCGCCTCCCCACGTCACTCGCTCCCCCCGCCCCCCCTTCCCCCACACCCCTCACCTCCCTCACTCAACAGCCCCTTCCCCCCATGTGTGAACCTCTTCACAAAAGACTCACCCTCACCGTCCTACCCCTGTCCTGCCAATACCCTCTCTCCTCCCCTGCCCTCTCCGCTCCCCCTCCCCTCCCTGGTGGTGCTGCTCCTCCCCAGAGCCGCGGTCGCACGTGGACGATGAGTACGCGAGGGCGGGCGAGGAGGACCCGCGCGTGCTGCTGACCACGTCGCGCGACCCCAGCAGCCGCCTCACACAGTTCGTGAAGGAGCTCAAGATCGTCTTCCCCAACGCGCAGAGAATCAACCGCGGAGGGCAGGTGCGTGCGGATAGGGAAGGTTGGGGTGGGACTGCGGTGCGGGGAGGCTAGGTGGGTTGGGTTATTGCGTTGTGAGTTGGGAGGCACCTGGAAAACCCGTTTAACCCGCCTCACACAGTTCGTGAAGGAGCTCAAGATCGTCTTCCCCAACGCGCAGAGAATCAACCGCGGAGGGCAGGTGGGTTGATGGGGGGGAGGGCTGGTGGGAATGAGGGTAGGGTAGACGAGGTGAATTGTGATGCGTTGGGAGGCGCCTGGAAACCAAGGAGCTTAAGATGCCTGGAAACCAAGGAGCTTAAGATGCCTGGAAACCAAGGAGCTTAAGATGCCTGGAAACCAAGGAGCTTAAGACTGTGTTTTCAAATGACTTATGAGTCGACTCAAAAGTCGCCTGGAAACCAAGGAGCTCAAGTCTGTGTTTCCAAATGCGCAAATGATCAACCGCGGGGGGGGGGGGGGGGGGGGGGGGGAATGTTGGGTGGGTTGGGGAAGTTGCGTCTGGAAATTCGCGGTCTAACTCTCCTTTCTCCCTCCCTCCCTCCCTCCCTGTTCCCCCACAGGTGATAAACGAGATAGTGGCATCGGCGCGCAGCAGTGCGTTCACAGACATTATAGTGGTGCACGAGCACAGGGGGCAGCCCGATGGGCTAGTCGTGTGCCACCTGCCCTACGGCCCCACCGCCTACTTCGGCCTGCTCAACGTGGTGCGTACCCTCTCTCTGCATTCTCTCATATAAGGGGGGCACGGGGGCAGGAAGGGGGGCAGGCAGGGGGCAGGAATGGGGGCACGCAGGAAGGGGGGCGGGCAGGCAGGGGGGCGGGCAGGAAGGGGGGCGGGCAGGAAGGGGGGCAGGCAGGAAGGGGGGCAGGCAGGCAGGGGGGCAGGCAGGAAGGGGCGCAGGCAGGCAGGGGGGCGGGCAGGAAGGGGGGCGGGCAGGCAGGGGGGCAGGCAGGCGCTCTTGTGGGCTAGTCGTGTGCCACCTGCCCTACGGCCCCACCCACTGCCTACTTCGGCCTGCTCAACGTGGTGCGTGCCTCTGCCTCGGGGTCTTGCTTTTTGCCTTGCCTGCCTTGCCTTCTAGACATGTAGAAAGTACGAGCACACAGGGCAGGCAGGCAGCCTCATACGCTTGTTGCCTGCCCGCCTGCCACGCTACGACCTATGAGAGCCGTACAGCCCTACGGCTGCCTACCTGCCCTACGGCTGCCTACCTGCCCTATGGCTGCCTACCTGCCCTACTGCCTACCTGCCCTATGGCTGCCTACCTGCCCTATGGCTGCCTACCTGCCCTATGGCTGCCTACCTGCCCTATGGCTGCCTACCTGCCCTATGGCTGCCTACCTGCCCTATGGCTGCCTACCTGCCCTATGGCTGCCTACCTGCCCTACGGCTGCCTACCTGCCCTACGGCTGCCTACCTGCCCTACGGCTGCCTACCTGCCCTATGGCTGCCTACCTGCCCTACTGCCTACCTGCCCTATGGCTGCCTACCTGCCCTATGGCTGCCTACCTGCCCTATGGCTGCCTACCTGCCCTATGGCTGCCTACCTGCCCTATGGCTGCCTACCTGCCCTACGGCTGCCAACCTGCCCTACGGCTGCCTACCTGCCCTATGGCTGCCTACCTGCCCTATGGCTGCCTACCTGCCCTATGGCTGCCTACCTGCCCTATGGCTGCCTACCTGCCCTATGGCTGCCTACCTGCCCTATGGCTGCCTACCTGCCCTATGGCTGCCTACCTGCCCTACGGCTGCCAACCTGCCCTACGGCTGCCTACCTGCCCTATGGCTGCCTACCTGCCCTATGGCTGCCTACCTGCCCTATGGCTGCCTACCTGCCCTATGGCTGCCTACCTGCCCTATGGCTGCCTACCTGCCCTACGGCTGCCAACCTGCCCTACGGCTGCCTACCTGCCCTATGGCTGCCTACCTGCCCTATGGCTGCCTACCTGCCCTATGGCTGCCTACCTGCCCTATGGCTGCCTACCTGCCCTATGGCTGCCTACCTGCCCTACGGCTCCCTACCTGCCCTACGGCCCCACCGCCTACTTTGGCCCCCTGCCCCCAGCTCAACATGGTGCGTGTTTTCTCTCATTCACCTGTTCTCTGCTTTCTGTCACCCTTTCCTACTTCTTCTCCTTTTCTCCGTCTTTTCTGTTTCCTTTTCTTTTCTCGGGCTTTTAAAATATGCCTGTCCTGTGGCCCCCCAAACCCCCTCTCCCCAACACCCCCTTCTCCCCTCCCCCCATCCCCTCCCCTCCCCTCCCCTTTCCTTCCTCCACTTCCTCTGTACCATCGTTTGCCTTCTGCGCTCCTCACTCCTCTACTCCCACATCTCCCCATGCTGTGCTGTCACCCTCCTGGATGCTGACTGCCTATGGCCTGTGCCTGCCTGCCTGTGCTGCTTCTGCTCTGCATTACCCGTGGTGCTGGTGTGAGTGGTGCGGCTGTGCGTGGTGGTGCTGCTATCTGTGTGTGTGCAACAGGTGACGCGGCATGACATTCAGGACAGAGCGGCCATAGGCACCATGTCAGAGGCATACCCACACCTCATTCTCGATAATTTCTCCACCAAGGTACTCTTTTAGGTACTCTTTTATGTACTCTTTTCATGCATCATCCTCATCCTCTCCCCAATCGTCTCCTGTGTAGTCTTTAGTCTTCCAAGAATCAATTCTGATTTTCTTTCACCCTCCCTCCTCTCACCCCCCCTCCTCTCACCCTCCCTCCTCTCACCCTCCCTTTGTTTCTAGCCCGTCGGTCCACGCCTTCCCTCCCCCCTTTCCCCTTGCGGCCCCGATTTGCAATCCCTGTTCGCCACTCCTGATTTCCCGCACCCTGGCCCCCTATCCAACGCTATCCCCTTTTGAGTCGACTCAAAAATCGAATGTTCGCCACTCCTGATTTCCCGCACCCTAGCCCCCTATCAAACGCTATCCCCTGCCCCCTGTCCACTGCAGTTGGGCCAGCGCACGAGCAACATTCTCAAGTACCTCTTCCCGGTGCCCAAGCCCGTCTCCCCTCTCTGTGCTCCCCATCCCCCGTACCCTGTTCCCCCAAACCCTGCCCCACCGCACCCCACCCCCTGCTTTGCCCGACCACCCCCAGCTGGGGCAGCGCACGAGCAACATTCTCAAGTACCTCTTCCCGGTGCCCAAGCCTGACTCCAAGCGCGTCATCACATTTGCCAACCAGTCCGACTACATCTCCTTCCGGTCAGTGCCAGCTGCAGCTGTTGCTCTTCACCTGCTGTTGCTCTTCACCTGCTGCTGCTCTTCACCTGCTGCTGCTCTTCACCTGCTGTTGCTCTTCACCTGCTGCTGCTCTTCACCTGCTGCTGCTCTTCACCTGCTGCTGCTCTTCGTTGCACCTGCTGCTCCTCTTCTTCTGACCCTGTAGCTACCGCTGCCGCTGGTTACTGTCCGCCAGAGCTGCTGGTTACTGTTTGTTACACCAGTTGGTTCATATTCCTTGACTGTTAAACCCTGCTCCTCCGCCCATCATGCACGGCTGTTCCTCTGTGCATAGACACCACGTATACGAGAAGCCTCAAGGTCCCAAGTCTCTACAGCTCAAGGAAGTCGGGCCTAGATTTGAGCTCCGGTTGTACCAGGTATGTGGCGCGGCGCCTCTCCCTTTTTATTTCGCCTCCTCCAGTGTGATGTTACGGTTGCCTGTAATTTAGAATGTTTGTTTGGGATTGCTGCTTATGCGTGTTATTTCTGTTTATGGTGTTTTCTGGGCAGATTAAGTTGGGAACAATGGACCAGCCAGAGGCTGAAAACGAGTGGGTTATTCGGCCATATATGAATACAGCGAAGAAACGCACTCTTTTGTGATATATTGGAGCACACAGTTTTTTTTTCTGTAGTTCTCCCTTTTTTTTTCTATATTAGGCAAGCCTTTAAATGATCCCCTTCAATGGTCGTCTCAGGCTATCCTGTCTGTAATGGAGTTGTTCATTGTGCACCCCAACCCGCCTCGAAAGCGTCAGACAATCACTGCAAGACACGTGGCGTTCGCGAAATCCCCGTAGTGCCACATAACCCCCGCTAGCCATGCTGTGTACAGTACAGTTCTCGTTCCCCCCACTCGTCATTCCCAAAAAGTTCCTCCAAACATAACAGGTTTGAAACCCTTCAAACCGTGACTTTAGTACAGTGAACCTTTGTCGAACATTCATTACCGATCTTTTGCGCTCCACTTTCCCCCTAACCACTTGCTTGCAATGCGACTCTCCTACTGTTCTTTCATCTTCGTCAAGTTTTTGGCCCATCTGTCTCATCGGCCACAGACTCAAGTTTCAGAACAGACCTCGGTGGTGCCATAACTTGGCCTCTCGCAGACATCGCCTTGAAACGCCTGCGACGTGGAGCATTAGTTCGCCGCTCGTCGGGCAGTCGCGAAGCCGTCGCCAAGCTATCGTGAGGTTTTTTCGCCGTCAAAGCGTTGGGTCAGGCTTTCCGTAATCTCTAAGCTCCTCTTTCCGCGTCGAACCTCGCGGGATGGAGATCTCGGTACAAAGCACCGCACGCGCGACCTTTCGAACAGCGCCGCAGCGGTCTGCGAGGCATGCGACTCGCGACGCCGCGCGAACCACCGCACAAGCCTCCCTCTCTTCGCTCTCATGCGCAGCGCTCGCTGGTGCGGGGCGCCGGAGCCTTTTCTCTGCCTCTCCGCTTCCGCACGCGCGGGCATCTTCCCGCCGCATCCGCCGCGGAGTGATCTCCGCAGTCGCCGCGGGAGTGGCTGGAGCCGCAGGCTCAAACAAGACCCGCCTGGCGCGTGCAACGGAACTAGCACAATGGCTGGCCTCCGCGGGCTTCCCCGCGCAACCTGTTGCGCCCGCGGATGCCGGAGCGGCGGGAATCGGGCTCTCCGCCAAGGAGCCAATTAAAAAGGGCCAAGTGGCGCTGCGGGTGCCGGAGAATTTTGTCGTGACGTCTGTCGACGTGGCGGAGCACCCAGTGGTGGCGAAGGCGGCGGAGGGACGTGGCGATTTGGTCGGGCTGACTCTTTGGCTGATGTGGGAGCGGTCTCAGGGAGACGCGTCGCTCTGGGCTCCGTACATTCGCACTTTCCCGGAAGCCACTTCGTCGCCGCTGCTTTGGCCGGCAGACGACCGCCAGCGGCTGCTGGCCGGCACGACGATCGCCGACGAGATTGACGGCCGGGTGGCGGAGATGGAAGCGGTGTATAGCGTTCTTAAAGCCACGCATTTTGACGCGGACCCTAGTACCTTCCCGACCTCCCCCACCTCCGCTCCGTTTTCTTCGGAGTCTTTTAAGAACGCCTTTGCAGTGGTGCTTTCGCGTGCAGTGTACCTCCCCTCGGTCGACTTATTCGCCTTGATTCCCTTGGCAGATCTAGTTAACCACTCGCCCGCACCCTCTAACCCAGCTATTCCTCCGCCGTCCTCTTTCGATTTTGACCCCGCGTCGCAATGCGTGGTTCTTCGTTCCAACATTGATCTCTCTTCCGGCGATCCTCTCCTCGCATCGTACGGCGCGGATCGCACCCCGGCGGATCTCCTCCTCACGTACGGCTTCGTGCCGCGCTCTTCGCCGTCCGATTTCATCCTGCTACCAGTCTCGCTCGTTCCTGGCGACCCGCTGTTGGAATTCAAGCGGCAGATTCTAAACGACCAGGGGCTGTCGGTATCGGAGATGTTTCCGCTTTTCACGGACCGCTTTCCACGTCAGCTGATCGCGTTCATGCGGCTCGCGCGGCTCCAGGACGCGGCGCAACTCGCGGGAATCAGCTTCGAGCGCGATGTGATGCTATCGGAGGCGAACGAGTACGAGGCACTGCAGATCCTGCTGCGTGACTGTAACGACCGGATCGCGGAATTCCCGCAGACTCTGGAGGACGACCTCCGGCTGCTCAATCTCGGCTCCGCCGTTTCCGCCGGCGCCGCCTCCGCCGCCGCCGCCGCCGCCGCGGCAAATGCCGAGAGCAGCAGCAGCAGCAGTGGCAGCGGGGGCGGGGTTTTTGGAGGGCTTTTCGGGGGTTTTGGCGGGGGGCAGCAGCAGAAGCAATTGGTGAGTGAAGCTGAACGGGCATCGGCTGCTGCTGCAGCAGAGGCAGCCGCAGCAGAGGAGCGAGAAATGCTGGCAGCAGCGCTACGGGCGCGGGAGAAGCAGATTCTAGCCAATACCGTTGCTGCGCTGCGCACTAAGCTGGCGCCGATTAGGGGGCTGCCGAGCAAGCAGGGCATGGATGATCCGAACGAGGAGATTAAAGCCATGTTTGGCATGATGGAGGCAGGGTTTTCTGCGCCGACCAAGCTGTTTTCAGACCTGATGAAACGGAAGAATTCGCCTTAAGGTCTTGTGAGAGGGAGACCCTGAAGTTGGATTTGCAGGTAGGGAGGGCATGGTGCTTGGTTGTTATGATGGTACCATAACTGGGGGGGGGGGGGGGGGGGGGCATGGCAGTGAGCGTGTGATGTTTATGATTGTGATAAGTACTGTCTGCAGATTACATGGTGGTTGTGCAGCATGTTGTTGGTGATGGTCATAGTTCCAGTACCTTAGAGCGTATTCCTATCCTCGCATCAAGAGAACCTCATATCAGCCTCCCACTGAAAATTCCCCTAAACCCAAAGCCTCTCGCTAGTTTTACCAGGCAAAAGGTACAATCTTGATACGAGGTTCTCTTGATAAGAAGATAGGAATACGCTTGTATTCCTAATCTCGTATCAAGAGAACCTCGTACCAAGCTCTCACTGGAGAATCCCCTAAACCCGAAACATCTTGTGAAGAAACGAGAAAATGAAGAAGAAGAGGAGGTTTCACTAGCAGCAATGAGGATACATATAGCAAACCTTAGATGGGTTGTACTCGCTATAGAGCACCCCACTACAGGCTAGAGAATAACATTCTGACACACCCCCATAGCCCAAGTGGGGTGTAATCAGCACAATAAGCAAGCAGGCATAGAGCAGGAGTTCACAATAGCGAGCAAAACTAGAGTCATTCACAAAGGGCAAGTGAGGAGGAGGAGGCGAGACTGTAAGAGGAGAGTGAGAAGAAGTAAACGAGAGAATGATTGAACTATGAACGAGGTGAGTACAAATAGGAAACCCTAATTGGGTGGTACCCCCTATGGGATACCCCACTGTAGCCTACACAAATAAGTAAGCTATAATGTTCTGACACACCCCCATAGGCAAAGTGGGGGAGAACAAGGGGTCACAAGACCAGTCAAGCAAAGCAAAGCAAAGCTCAAGGTGGATCACAAAGTCACCACACATTCCGAGCACAAGTTCAAAGGCCAGAAGGCCAGTTCACATGCAAGATCATATATAGAGATATACAAGAGGCAAGCAAGCAAGAGCAAGAGTATATATAGGTAAAAGTACAAGCAAGGTCAAGAAGTGAGCAAGTGAGGCAAGGCAGGCACAAGGCCCAGCTGCGTGCAGCAGCGCTGATGATCACAAGGCGCAAGTGCCTTGGTGAAGACATCAGCAGTGTTGGCCTCAGAGGCCACGTACGCAAGTCGCAGCTGTCCACGCTGCTGTAGCTCACGAGCAAGAAAGTAGCGGAGAGCAATGTGCTTTGTCTTGTGCTCCAGTCGCTGCTCTCGACACAAGGCCAGCATGGCCTTGTTGTCTACGTACAGGACTGGAGGAGAACGAGGCGGCTCTCCAAGGTCGGTCAGCAGGTAAGTGAGCCAGCGTAACTCCTGTGCAGCCATGGCCCCGGCGTAGATCTCAGCCTCACAATTGGAGCCGAGAACACAAGACGAGCGGGTAGCCCGCCACGAAACAGAGCCGGAACCAAGGCTGAAGGTGTAACCCTGTGACGACCGCTGCGTAGCCTGGTCGTCAGCCCAAGAAGCGTCTGCGTGCCCAGTGAGGACCACTGGACTGCGCCCTCCAAGCACTAGCCCCATGCCCGACGTACTGCACAAGTAGCGCAACACCCTCTTCGCTGCAGCCATGTGCTCTGGTCGGTGTCTCCCAGGAGCAACATAGAGTGCAAGAATGTTCAGAGGGTATGCAAGGTCAGGTCGTGTGCAGGTCATCAGGTACATGAGGCAGCCAACAAGCTCTGCATACGGGCCACTCGACTCTACGGACTCATCCGAAGGCAGAGCTGAGAGCGAGTGGCGAATAGGCAGAGGAGTGGCCTGAGGCGAGGAGTACGTGAAGCCGAAGCGCTGAAGGACCTGCTGCACCATGTATGACTGAGTCAGGGTAATGGTGCGGCGTGCTCTGTCTCGGGTGATCTGCAAGCCAAGGTAGCTGCGCAGTTCACCCAGGTCAGTGCACGTGTGTCTCTTCTGCAGCTCGGACTTCACGTAGGCGAGTCCAGCAGTGTCCGCTGTGGCAAAGACCAAGTCGTCGACGTACACGAGGATGTAGAACGGCGGCAGAGAGGTGTCGGTGCGCAGAAACAGCGACGGGTCTGCAGTGGAGGGAGCAAACCCAAGTGCCGCCAGCGTAGTCCTCAGTGTGTCGTGCCACTCACGCGGCGCCTGGCGGAGACCGTAGACTGGACGCCGGAGACTCCACTGGGTACCAGGAGGGAAAGACCCAGTGAAGCCAGGTGGGCGACGTAGCCAGATCTCCTCGTGCAGGCTGCCCTGCAAGAAAGCAGTGCTGAAGTTGAGAGAGTGCAGGTCGTAGTCACGGTGAGCAGCAACGTGCAGCAGTACCCGAAGAGTGGTCATCTTCGGGGTGGGGGAGAAGGTCTGAAAGTAGTCAACTCCCTGCCGCTGACTGAAACCACGAGCCACGTACCGCGCCTTGAAGACAGGCGGAGAACCCGGCGGCCGCTTCACCCTGAAGATCCACATGCCACTGACGATGTTCGCCCCAGGAGGGGGAACACCGTCAACGTAGGTGCCTGTGGACTTCCAGGAAGCCATCTCTACATCCATAGCTGCCTGCCACTGAGAGGAGTAGGGACCCTCTATCGCCTCCGCGTAAGAGCGCGGAGTCAGGATGTCTAGTGCATCCGGGTCTCCCTCAGGGGCTAGCAGTACAGACGCGAGATGAGGTGAAGCGGCGGCCTGACACTAGAACTCCTCCTGCCTGTCCTAAAGGACGTCCGTGCCAAGGGCACACTCACCCCCGACGGACGGAGGACAGGTAGACTCAGACTCAGCGACAAGACGTGCAGCGTAGTCTAGAAGACAGCGCGCAGCAAAGTCGACGAGCTCAGTGACAAGGGCAGACGCAGCAGAAGACTCGAAAGAAGGGTCAGTGACAGCAGTAGCAAGGAGACGCGTGACAGTAGGACTGGCAGCACGAAGAGAGTCCGACTCCGGGTCGGCAAGAGCAGGAAGAGAGGAAGAAGGAGGAGAATGCAAAGGGGCACGTAGAGGAGCAGTGGACGGACGCAGAGACATCCGGTGCGTGCCAGGGACAGGAGGCGGACGCTGACGCGAACCGCGACCACTAGCGCGCGCAGTACGAACAGGCGACGCAGGACGAGACGCAAGCTCACGACGCTCAGTAAGACCTCCAATCGGACCAGCGTAGGGAGGAGGAGCAGGCAAAGGGGAGGCAGGCTGTAGCTGTGACTGGACAGGCTGTGGACCCTCTAAGGGAGGAGGAGGAGGACCACGAGAAGGTGGAAGACCAAGAACCTGCTGCAGGAGCGGTACGAAGTATGGTCGGGGCCGCGCGGCGACGCCAGAAATAGCAGGGACAGCACCAGTACCCCCAGCAGGAGTACCCGCTCCAGCAGCACCTCCAGCAGCACCTCCAGTAGCTCCAGAACTCCCAGCAGCTCCTCCAGTAGCCCCACAACCTCCAGCAGCACCAGGAGCACCGCCAGTCGAACCACCAGTGGTAGTCTTAGCGCCAACACCCTCAGCAGCACCAGCTCCAGGCGAACCCGCAGGCCCAGCAGCTCCAATACTCCCGGTACGAGCACCTCCGGGACCCGCGGCAGCAGCACCCTCAGCAGCAGAAGAACCTCCAGCACCAGCAGCACGCCTCCAGCGCCGAGCAAACCACTCACGCAGCTCCTGTGAGGAGGGTGGCTCTCGGCGAGATGAAGCACCCGGAGAACCTCCAGGCGAAGAACCTCCAGGCTCAGCACCCCCAGGCAAAGCACCTCCAGGCGTAGCGCCCCCAGGCTCAGCACCCCCAGGCTCAGCACCCCCAGGCTCAGCACCCCCAGACTCAGCACCCCCAGACCTCGCACCCCCAGGCTCAGCACCCCCAGGCACAGCACCCCCAGGCTCAGCACCCACAGCAGCACCAGAGTCACCAGTGACTTCGACAGGCTCAACCGTGTCTACCTGGGACACACCTGAAGGGGCAGGACCCTGAGGGGGGAGGGGGTCTATTGGGGGGGGACCTGGTACCAAGAAGAGCGGGGGTGGGGGGAGGGACGAAGTGCGGTAGGGGAAGAGGCGGTAGTAGGGTACCGACTCGTCGAACGTGACGTCCTGGGAGGACAGAATACGGCGAGAGGTGGGGTGGTAGAACTGCCACCCAGGGGCGTCGGGGGGGAACCCCAGGAAGACGCAGGGAGCAGCGCGAGGGGACAGCTTGTCCGCAGACAAGTCGCGGACAAACGCCCGACATCCCCAGACCCGGAACGCCGACGCATCGCCAACCTTCCCCGTCCACAGCAAAGCTGGGGAGGTCTCCGGCCTGGAGACCCTGGGGTGGAGGTTGATCTGATGCGCCGCGTACCTGACAGCAAACGGCCACAGAAAATGGGGGGCAGCCGCATGCATCATAGACGTACGAGCGACGTCCATGACCATGCCAATGCGGCGCTCTGCAATCCCATTTTGTTGCGGTGAGTCCGGAAGCGTGAAGGTCTGGCGGATGCCTCGCGCACTACAGTAGGCACGCAGAAGGCCAGAGGAGAACTCTCCGCCTCTGTCCGAGTGCAGACGCAACACAGGAAAGTCCGAGCCAAAGCTCTGCCTGAGCTGGAGAGGAGCTGCGCGGATCCAGTCGATCAGCACCTCAGTGACATCACCCTTGCTGCGCAAGGGGAAGACTGTGGTGTAACGCGAGTAGTCGTCAACCACCAACAGGAAGTAGCGCTCGTGACCGAGTCCACGGACGCGGGCAGGGCCCCACACGTCCATGTGAAGCGTCTGCAACGGAGCCTCTGTCGGAGGAAACTGGGAGGAGTGAGGGGCAGCCCGCTGGCGCCCCTCGACACAGGGGACACAGGCAGGGCCAGGGCCCTGAGGAAGGGGAGGGAGGGACCTGGAGAGACCAGACACAAGAAGACGGGAGGCCATGCCTCTAAGCCGAAGTAGAGAGGGGTGGCCAAGGCGGTGGTGCCAGAGGAGGGTCTCGTGGGACAGACGGCGACACGAACAGGGGGCAGACTCAGGACCAGAC